CTTTCAATGGGGCATTCTTTCTTGCACGGGAACCTCCTCGAGGGTTTATGTCATATTCCCTCTAGCTGCTGGGTTGGATTGGTTTGATTCCCCACAAATCGGGGGACCCCAAGAAAATGAACTGGGTATTTATCTTTATCTATTTCTTTTTCTCAGAGCTTGGTGTTTCTACCCGCTGTTCTTGCGCAATTCCAATGCGCCATCGGGTGGAATCTCTGCGAATGTGCCCAAGAAGAAGCTACGAGAGCGATAAATCAAGGTCGGGCAACATTCCTGAAAAAACAACCACTCACTGCGAACCCCCCCATAGACTCAGGCCACCCTTGATTGGTGGTTTGGATTTGTGGTTTGGGGATTTGAACCCCTGGTTTTTGTAGAGAGTACATGGGAAACCCCTCCTTGTAAAGGAAAGCTGATAGACGGCACAATGTCTCTCCCATGTTGGTCAAGTTTTCTCCTTGATTGGAATTCTGCCATCTACCTTGACCTTGGTGCGATGGGAACGGTTGTGGAAAATAGGACAGAGCGTTTTAGGGCAACTTTCTGACTTTTCTGATACTGAGGGAATCCCCCAAGTGACAAAGTACTCACTCCCTCTCACCTTGGCCGTGGCACCTGACAGGAGGTCCCTTCAAGAGGCACCTCCCCACAGGTGCCATTTGAGTGGGAGGAAGGGCATGGGAATGTCCAAATTTCATCTTAGCCATTCTTTTCCAGTTTTTACCTGCCTTGTGTTCAACGGTTTCAGAAAAAGGGCCGACTCCTTGTTGGTTACCCCTACAAATCATCACGCCCACAGCAATTTCCCGTCAGGAGTTTCTTCTACAAGTGGTGGTGTTTTTGTCTTGGATATTCTCTAGGGGGGGAGGGGGTTTGCCTCACTTGACCGGCGGGCCCCCCAGCAGAAACCCCCACTGCCCCGGCCCTCGTAAGGCAGGGGCCGGGGGCGAGGGCACCAAGACCTCGGCACTTTGCCAGGCGCGGACGCTCGCGTTTTGGTGTTGGTTTCTCGTTCCGAAGAAATAAACGACCAGAGAATGGACGGGTCCCGGTGTGGAGGGTCAGAACACCTGAATTGTTGCCATGTGCCCCTTTGTGGGCAACAGTCCTGATAGGATCCAAGATTGATGAGCCCTTTGATTCAATGGGGGCCCCGTTTCAGTCACTTTTGGCGGGCACAGCACTGCATCTTTTACGTCTCATTGGCCAGGCTCTTCGGAAACTATTGGCCGACACTTTGTTGGGTGTGTCCTGTTTGAGGGGGGTTCCCTTTTTGGTGGTTTTAAAAAGAAACCAAAAGGAGGACCACTTCTTTGGTCTTGGGAGGAGGGGGGGTTCCCAAAAGAAGACAGACCCACTTCATTCTCAGCCGAAAGTGACTGGATCTGCTGGACCTTTTGGGCGTCGCTTTGTGCGAGTGAATTCATTGGGGCGGTTTGGGGCAGGGAATGTGTGCCAGCTAGGGCTGGGAGGAACGATCTCTCAACTAGGACCACGACCAAATGAGACTAGAACCCAGGATCTCTCAACTGGGACTAGGACCAAACTAGGACTAGACGACCCACCTCAGATTCTTACAAAAAATAAGTTTCAAGTATAACTTCCTCTGTAGTGTCCTGTATACTTTCTAATTATTGCAGTAAACTAGGGAGCAACCTAGCACTAGAACCAAGGATCTCTCATCTAGGACCAAACTAGGACTAGACCATTCAACTCTACTTCTTGTAGTATTTGGATGTCAAGCATTACATTCTGGTGGAAAGAAAGTCATGTTTAATATTTGGCTTGAAACAGAATAACCATAAATTATGACTGGATATGTTCTTTACTTTATTCTACTGTTCAGTTAGCAGTTGCATAGAAATTGAGTAATATATTAACTACAATTCATAAGGAACTTCCTTTGCATTGTCCTTTGTACGTTCCATTTATTTCAGTAAGCTAGGACCATACTAGGCCTAGAACCAAGGACCTCCCAACTAGGACTAGGACCAAACTAGGACTAGACCATCTAAGAATTTAACTCTAGTTCTGAAAGTGATTGAATTTCAAGTACAATGTTCTATTGGACAGGAAATCGGTTGTACCATGTAACTTGACATAGAACAATCAGTACTTAAGTTCGAATATAAATCGAAATTCTGGCTGGAGTATGTCCTTCTTAAGCTCCATTGAATTTCAAACAGAAATTGGGTCGAATGTGATAAAACATATTAAGTGGAGTTCATAAGGAAAGAATCCAAAGGTCCAAAACTTGTCTTTTCACTAGTCCTAACACTACCATGGTCAGAAAACACAGTAAAACACAGTGTTGTGTTGTGTTTTCATACTCAATTCACATCTGCACCAACGAACACTCGCTAAATGTTTGAATTTGAACACGATTTAATTGGGACTCAATAATGAAATATTTGGACAGAATCCTAATGGTAATCAAATCTGACATTTCGAGTTTAAATAGAGTTCCTTTCCCAATATGTACTTACAATTTAATTAGAGCTTTCACAGGATTCGATAAGGAAAGAACCCAAGCCTGTATTCAACATTCAAGAATCAACATTCTTTAGACAAGTCTTCTTTGCAAACGCGAGTCCAGGCCCGAGTGAAACCGATTGAACCCAACTGAAATTGCAGTTGTGCCTAGGTTCAAGATTCCCTAGAAAACTTTGGCCTACAATCTTGAATGTGGGCCAAGATTGAAAAAGATTGAATGAAAAATCAGGACTTGGATGCTTGCACAACACTGTGCCAAAGTACAGCCGCACAAAGTGCAATGTTGAATTTGGGTCTCGATTTAAACCGATTTAAACCGATTTAAGTTTAAATCAGGCATGGATTCAAGATTCAAGATTCAAGAATCCAGGCCAAACTTTTCCAGGGAATCTTGAATCCAGGCCTCGATTTAAACCGATTTAAACCGATTCAACTTAAATCGGGCATGGATTCAAGAATCAAGATTCAAGAATCCAGGCCAACATTTTTTCAGGGAGTCTTGAATCTTGAATCTTGAATCCATGTCCGATTTAAGTTAAATCGGTTTAAATCGGTTTAAATGAAGCCTGAAGCTTCCAGAACTTCCTTAACAATGCTTCTTTTTCATTGCTCTCCCCAAAGCCCAAAAAGGGTAGAATACACTGCAAATACCAGTGAATTCTTCAAAAAGGTAGGTCCCTGGGGGGGGGGGTACCATATATATAAATGTATATATACACATAGATATTTTTCATGGGTTCCAAATTGAAGATTCAGGTACCCCCTGGGTTGGTTTGGATTTGGTACCCGGGCCAGTTCGCCCAGCGCCAAGCCGACAAAATCCAAACCGCCGACCTTCCTTTTGGCTGGCCAAAAGGGAAACCCCCGAAACCGGGGTCTTTCCTTTTGGATCGTCCCTTTGAAACCATCCAACAGGGAAACCCACACCAAAAAATATTTAGAAGCGCCCGTTTTTTTTTTTTTTTTTTTTTTTTTTTTTCCGCGATGCTTCACCATGGAGTTTGATTGGGTGGACATCTCCTCAGCTGAGGTGTGACCGTGAGTTTCCTTTGGCCGTGATCTTGGAGCAATGGCTTTTATTGGGGCATCCATCCGTCGTTTGATTCGCGAAATCGCAGATTTTTCGCGCTTCAGTTTTTTTTTTCAAGCTTGTTTGTTTCAAGACCAGACGGCAATGCCCACTGATTGGCATACCTCTCCAGACAAAATCCTAAAAGCAAACATTGGAACTAGACAGGGACTCTGTAGAACTCCTTTCCTCGAGGGGCCCTCTTTCAGCTAGCATGTTTGCGTCCAAAGACGGGAGTGAGTAACAATCAGCTAGCCCATGGACCCCCAATTGAGGTTTACCCAGAGGAGATCTTCCGTGTGGAGGGTCCCATAAAATGGTCCAAACCAGGACCCCCCAGTCAGGTTCCTGGTTAGTGGATGGGAGGGCATTTGTTACGCACTTTTGATGGGCAACATGGTCTCGGAAGACCACCCCCAGTCAGTGGAAGAGAGGGTACCCTGCTTTCGCGGCCGGGCACTCGTTGCAGGCGTGCTCAGGCGCCCCAAGGACAAGTCCAAAGGACGGGCCAAAGGGGGGCTTTGTACGTGAGCTTGTCGCGGGTTTCGAGTGGTGACCATATGAGTCGCTGACCATGCTATTGGTTATGATTCGGCTATGCCCCATTCGTAAATTCCCTGGGTGCAACAAAAATGGGGGCATCCTATTTTGGAGGCAGCACCTTCACATACCTTCACCTTTGAATGAACCGCCTCCACGAACTTGCCAGGGCTACAAATGCGGGGAGACGGTCTATGTTTTTGTTTCTTTCTTTTTGGGGGGGAGGGGGGGCCAGCTGGGCAGACAAACCAGTTTACAGAGCCAAAAGAGCCCCGTTCTTGTGTTTGTTGTGTTTTGCCTTGTTTCAGGGGCGACTGTTTTGTTGCTGTCAAAACTTGAGCCACACAATCACCCCCATTTTAATCTGCCCCGCCCTGTTTCTTTGGTTTTTGTCTTCAGGTTTCCTCGTTTTGTCGCTTTGGAGATCTGGGGTTTCACATTGGCTCCCTGCAAGAACCCGCGCTTCAAATCCAATTCCCCCGAGCCCCAAGCCCTGGTGCTTGCAGCGGGGCTAGACGGATCGGAGTGCCCGCAAATAAAATGCGCTCCAGACCGGGATGTAGCTTCAATCGAGGACGACACCTGCGAAGAACAAAGGTCCAATTCCCCCAACAACCTAAGACACCCTGGATTTTGTAGGGACTGGACACCGCCTTCCTTCCACACGGCCAAGGAGATCCGCGCCACACAGGGTTCGAAAACGAATTTCTTTGGGGCTTGGACACCACCCCCAAATCAAATCCCTAAACCAAAGGGCTCACCCGACTCGTATCCCGGGGTTTTCGTTCGTCTCATAGGTGTCCTTTTTGGTTGTTTTGCTCGAAACATAGATGGCGATTCCTGGTTTACCCATCATCTACCAGGGAAACCCAGAATTTGCCCCTAAAATTGGACACCT